ACCATGGAGCTTTGGTCTTTCCTCTGGTGCCCAGTCAGGCGGACAAGGAAAATGAGGATGAGGATGAAGAGCCTGCAGCAGGCAGAGCAAAAAAGATCCCTGAGGAAGGAAGCCGCCCTCCCCCTGACCTCGCTCGATATGATGTTATCAAGGTGGAAGAAAAGTTTCTTTCCCATCTCAGACTCAAGTGAGCAGGTGTTTTGGGCAGGAAGGGTCATCCGGGTTCACCTCTGTTTGGTTCTTCTCTTGACCCCCAGGGGCTTCTGGCTACCAATCTGCTGCCTCGGCTGCGCTATGTACTGGAGGTGACCTGTCCAGCGCCCACTGTGGTCCTTGACATCTTGGCTGTGCTCACCCGCCTGGCCCGGCATTCCCTGGAGTTAGCCACAAGGGTGAGAAAGAGGGGTGACCAGGGAGTGAGCACAGAGTATACCAAAACCTAGTTTTTCTCCTTTGCCTTCCTACCTCTTTTTCTTTCTGTTTTCTGCAGGTACTAGAATGCCCACGACTCATAGAAACCATAGTCCAAGAGTTCCTGCCCACTACCTGGTCCCCTGTGGCAGTGGGGCCTACCCCCAGTCTATATAAAGTACCCTGTGCTGCTGCCATGAAGTTACTTCGAGTCCTGGCTTTGGCTGGTAGGAATATTGCTGCTCGGCTGGTGAGTAGGACATGGGACAAGGGATGGGGTCATAAGAGGTGGAAGCTAGACAGGGCCTCTGAGCTCTTGAGTGGCCAGCTCATACAATCTTCCTCTTTGGTCTGGTTGTTTAGATATTCAGTAGAAACTAGCAGACAGGAAGTGTGTCCCCTGGAGCCTAGCACATCCTGTAGGTCTCCTCTCTTCTCACGCTGCCCTGGACCATCATCCACAGCCAGACAACCTAGGAAAAGTGTCCAACAAGCACTTTCTGAAGAGCAAGGCTCTCGGTTTGCATCTCTGCAACCTCCCCAAAATAGTCCATTAAAAAGAGGGAGTTTCACCCCTTCCCAGAGCTGTAACCCTGTGGCATCACAGAGGCTAAGAGGCTAAGTTGAGCTAGTTTCCCTAGTGAAAGAACCTGATACTCATTGGATTTGTGACTGTCTGACCCTGAACCTCTTCCTGCCTCCCTAGTTGAGCAGTTTTGATCTTCGAAACCGCCTGTGCCGCTTCATAGCTGAGGCTCCCCAGGAGCTGTCCTTGCCCCCAGAGGAAGCAGAAACACTGAGCACGGAGGCCCTGCGTCTGTGGGCCGTGGCTGCCTCCTATGGCCAAGCTGGTGACCTTTACAGGTAAGGAGAGACCTGACCCCTTAGCCTCACTCAGGCAGGACCCCACACTTGGAGGGAGGCTGGGAATGTGAAAGCGCGTGTGCCACTGGAGGTGAAAGCAGCAAGGGTCAGGACCAGCTGAGGAAGAGGGCTCAAGGGACCAGGGAGATGGCTCAGTGGAATAAGCACTTCCCTGGTAAGCGCAAGGACCTGAGTTCAATCCAATCCCCGGTTCCACCAAAAAAAAAAAAAAAAAAGAAAAAAGGGAAGAGGGCTCAACCTGGGCTTAACTGCATTCTGTGCACAAAAGCACTGGTATCTTGGTGGCATCCGATATGACATAAGCTCCCTGTTGCAGGTAGCCTCAAAGACTGCATCCTTCCCATTTTTCAGACCCAGCCTGTCAAGAGTGCCCAGCACTGGTTTCTTCTCTGTCCCCATCCTCCTTTGCCAAACTGTAGGTGCCTGGGCACAGTTGTGTCTGTGCCTTGGTCTGCATCTCCCCACACACTGTGACAGTCACTGATCTTTACTAGGGAGCTGTACCCAGTGCTCATGCAGGCCTTGCAAGCTGTGCCCACAGAGCTTAGCACCCACACGCCACAGCCCCTGTCCATGCAGCGGGTAGCCGCTCTGTTCACTCTCCTCACCCAGCTGATCCTGGCAGCTGGCAGCAGTCCTGAGCCTCACAGGTAGGTATGCCCCGCTGGCATTGCCAGGACAGGCAAGAATGCACCCCCACAGGGAGAGGGTAGCTGAAGGGGAGGGAGTGCGGCAGCCATCTCCTAACCTGCCGCTTGGTGTGCCTGCAGTGACTCTGCTGAAGCCCCATTAGCCACCCCTTCCTCAGTCACTTGGATGCAGATAGCTGGACTCCAGCCACTAGTGGAACCATGTTTGAGGCAGACTTTGAAGTTGCTGCCAAGACCTGAAGCTTGGCGTGCCCTGGGCCCAGTGCCTGCTGCCTGTCTGCTGTTCTTGGATGCCTACTACCAGGCCTGGAGCCAGCAGGTGAGTGCGTTCCCCTGGCCCTGTGCATCTCACCCCATTGCACTCTACATGGCCACCTCCACTCCTCGTCCCCACCTTTCCTCACTCCCCAGGCCTGTGTTGTTGTTTCTGTGGATGAAACCCATGGCTATGGGGCTGGTGAGATGGCTCAGTGGTCTAAAGCACCTACTTAGAACAAGCTTAGCAAAGCACAGGGACCGCGGTTCGATCCCCCAGCACCACATGCCAGCCAGCCCCGCCCCCTGGTGGGCTGAGCTGGCCACACACACACACACACACACACACACACACACACACACACACAAAAAAAAAAAAAAAAAAAAAAAAAAAAAAGAAACCCATGGCTAGGTGCTTGCTCTACCACCAGGCTACATCCTAGCCCCACCATCCTCCACCTGTTAGCTCCTACCTGACCTCTTGTTCCCACCTGTATGTCACAGTGAGCTTCTATATTTAGTACAGGGTCTCACTACACAGACCAGACTCAGTGATTCTCCTGCTTTCAGCCTTCTAAGTGCTGAGATTGCAGGCACACACCACCACACCCAATCTCAATCGCCATCTCAGCGTGCCCCAGGGGCAGGGCTGGCAGGGCAGGCCAGGGATCCAACCCCCAGCCCCTGCGTCTGCCTAAGCGGGGTGCTTTAACCCTCTGAGCTGTCTGGCTGGCCCAACAGTGAGCTTCTGAAAAGCCATGTTGGTGGGGACCAGAGATGCTTGAGCAGCAGCTTAGCTTTCCTGTGTGTAGCCTTTGTGCTCTTTTCATCTACTTCTAGACATGGGGTACAGGGTCAGCTTTAGGGCTGGGCAGCCTTCACAAGAGTCAGACTTTGGAACCCTCCAGGCTGATTCTTGGGGCTCTTGAAATGCGAAGATGGCCTGGGAACATGGGGACTAGGAGCACAGACATCATGGGCCTTCCATCAGCTCAGTGCTTCCTTGGTCCTCAGCTAAGCATGTGCCCTGACGATTGGCTTCAAGACATGGAGCGCCTATTGGAGGAGCTGCTGCAACCACTGCTGTGTCAGCCTTCTCTGGGCAGCCTGTGGGATTCCCTTCAGTAGGTTCTGGGTGTGTATAGCCAGGGGAGGTGGGAGAGGTCTCCTGGGCCCATTTCCCCAGCCTTTCCCAGAATGCAACCCCTAGAGGCCCAGGGGGAACCTAGGTCCCTAGTGGGCAACAGGCAGTGGTGCTGTGAGGAACGTGGCACTGGGCTATACAGGCATGCCCAATGGCCTGTCTAGCCTGGTGCACGTCGGGCCAGAGCCCCTCAGCTTGTGCATTCTGCTTGCAGGCTCTGCTCCCCTCTCTGCAACCCATTGTCCTGTTCACCAGCCCCTGAAGCTCTCCCCAGCCTGGTATCACTGGGCTGTGCAGGAGGCCACCCCCCACTCAGCCTGGCTGGCTCAGCTTCACCCTTCCCATTCCTCACTGCTCTCCTCTGTCTCTTCAATACCCTGGCTCGGATCCACAAGGGGCTGTGTGGCCAGGTAAGCTCTGGGTACCAGGCAGGGGTCAGGTGGGGCCAGGGTGGCAGGGGTCAGAAAGAAAGTAGGAAGTTCTCACTGCTAGCACCCATTTGTCTGAGAATCTGGTGAGGCAGCCATCAAGGGACCGACCCTAGAAGACATCAGTTTCTGGATCTGAACAAATTTGCTTTCTCTCAGTTGGCTGCTGTACTGGAGTCCCCAGGACTCAAGAAATATTTCCTCCAGTGCGTGGCTCCTGGTACTGCCCCACACCTCACACCCTTCGCCGCATGGGCCCTGCGCCACGAGCACCACCTGCAATACCTAGCACTCTCTCTGGCCCAGAAAGCGGTGGGTCCCTCATCTGCAGGTCCTTTCCTTCCTGTTAGTCCTGCTTCTCTGCCAGGCCATGCAGCCATTCCTTTGTTGCAGACATGCCCTGGGTCTGTGCCCTCTGTGTCAGCTTCTGCTTCTCTGCTTTTTTCCCTTCACCCTGCTCTCCCTGCACTCAGTAATACCCGCCTGTCTCCACAGGCAACATTCCAGGCAGTGCCAGCCACCAGTGCTGCTCTCTATCATGCCGTGGCCTTGGCGCTGCTGAGCCGCCTGCTGCCAGGAAGTGAGTACCTCGCCCAAGAGCTGCTGCTGAGCTGTGT